TTTTTTTGTTTTCCTGTTCACCTCCCATGTCTTACCTTCAAATCAAGAAAGAAGTTCGTTTGACAAAAGTCTTCAAGTAAAAAAATATATAAATATATATTCTCCAGGGGCAGTGTTGAATCTTGCTGTTCAGACATAATATATAGTGTATTTGAGAAATTTTAAGTTAAAAAAGACAATGCTTAGCTCCAAATCCAGAGACAGATCAGGAAATACAGGAAACCAAAAAAAAAAAATCAAGCAAGAAACAGAAAAAGACAAACCTTCTGCTTTAAGAATAGACCAGCTGGCTTGGCAATCCAATTTGGACTTACAGCCAGCAAGATTTTAAACCCAAAAGGCAAACATAAGCAGTAGAAAGTGAGTCAGGACAACACATTATGTATTGAATTCCATCTAATATCTTCATTTCTTAAGTCTATAGTGTAGCAACAGAACATAATCAGAAGCATTGCATTTCCAAAGCTTTGTAGGCAAATATACTAAGAAGAATTCCCAAAACTGAAAACTGCAAAAAAATAAAAAATAAAAAAAAATAAAAGGGCCCTTGGAGGCTGCCATTTGCTAGCAATATAGCTTAAGGCCTTAAGCCAACCAAAGAACATATCAATCATAAATATTAGTAGACCTAAACTACAAACTGATAATGCAAACATTGGCTGGCAATATTATAGAGTTAATATTAGTAGACATATTTAATGACAGCAACAATTTGATTGCTACTTCAAATCAAATTAAGCAAATACTCAAATCCTAAAAGAATCTGCAAGAATAAATGGAAAGGGAAAAAAAAAAACAAAAAACCCAACCCAAAAAAAAAAACAAAAAACCAAAAAACCAACGGGAAAAGGGAAAAATGTAACAATATCTTAAACTTACTGAATCAGTACTGTGAGACAAAGGAGATGTCAGGACTTTGAAGAGCAGAGATCTAAAGAACCTAGAACAAATTGAAAACCTATGAATCTGTAAGAATAAACTGAAATAGAAAATCGAACATTTGACAGATAAACTCACCAAATTAAACAGATATAGCAGATGGTTAAGAACCTAGTTCTATTACAATTAATTACACAAGCTGAAAACCCAACGAATAAATTGAAAGGGAAAATCAAACATTAATAAACGCACCAAATCGCATACAGCAAGGTGACTTGATAGAGCCGAGAATAAAAGAACCTAGTTCATATCCAATTTATTATATAAATTGAAAACCTAAAAATCTGCAAGAATAAATTATGAAACTGACCAGATCGCAAATGGAGAGGCGAGGCAGATAAGATGCGAGAGACCCATAGAGCGGAGAGTAAAGAACCTTGTTCAAAAACAATAAATTAGAAAATTTTGAAATCGAATCTGCAATAATAAATGGAAACATCGAACGATTCAGCAGCCCTTAAACTCACCAAAGAACAGTGCAGAGGTAATGATGTCGACGCCGGACACCGAGATACGTGAGAGAGAGCAGAGTAGATGATGCCAAACACCAGAAGAGTGTGGAGAAAGTGATGACGGAAATCGAGGGATAAAGGAGACGATCTGTTGTAA